TCAGGAGGCTGAGGTGGGAGGATCAATTAATCTGGGAGGTTGAAGCTGCAGGGAGCCATGGTTGTGCCACTGCACTCCAGGCTGGGTGACAGAGCCAGACTCTGCCACACACACACACACACACACACACACACACACAAAAGCAGACTGATCTCTTTAGCATCATTTTAGCATAGTTCCCTCTGGACAGCCAGGTAGTAATGTGGATGAGTCAGTGTGAGCCCTCACAACTGCTGGAAAATGAGTTCCGAGCCTGTCCTTCCAAGCCTGTGTGCAGTTTGGTCTAATTGGTACTTGGGTTCTCTTCATAAGGTCCATTGCCATCGAATGCGATGGGGTTTCAAACGGGGCTAGTGGTTAATAATCAAAGACTGTAACATTTAAAACCCAGAAGATACTGCTTTTTACCTCTCAGACTGGCAAAAAAAAATTGTGACTATTAATACCCAGTGTTGATGGAAATGTGGGGAAAGGCACTCTTCTTGAGACTGCTGGGCATAGGAATTAGTGCTGTGATTTTGGGGGGCAATTCGGACCAGCAGTTCTGCCTGTTTTTAGTTCTTTTGTTGTTGTTGTTTTAAGTTCCTTTGACCCAGCAGTTCTGCTTTTAGGACTTTACTCCCAAGAAGTAACCAGAGATACAAGCAAAGAGGTGTTATTTATAATAGTAAAACATTATAAACAAATGTCATATTTAACCATAGAAAAATGGTTTAAATATATGATAGGAAATGTTAATGGTGAATTTCTCAAAGAAAAAAATGCAGGTAGTAATCAGTGGGCACAGAAGATTATAATTTTGTTTAATACACATATACATAGATAACAAAAATGGCTTGAAGGGTATATACCAAAATGCAAACTGATTATCTCTAGGTAATAGAATTGTAGGTAGTTTTTACTTCCTTTTTTGTGCTTTTCTGAAAAATTTTCTGACATTTTTCAACAAGGAATATATTTTACTTTGATAATCAGCGAAGTTATTAAAAACAGTTTCTTTTAAAAATTTACACATCCATTCAGGCTGAATTTGGGATTGTTTGGAGGACAGAGGCGTCTAATGAAAAGTCCCTGCTGGGAATATGGAACAAAAGGAAGGTTCTCCCTCACGGGTGGGATTTCCTTCCATGTGGATGATTCAACAGCTGCACCCACCTCCTTAAATTCCTGGATTTGGGTCTGTTCGAACATGGAGAACACGTTGGAGTTGGTGCCCTGGGCTCTCTTCTTTGCTTTCTTAGGTGCCTGGGGGAAAAAAGCATTGATTAAAAGAGTGAGAGGCTGGGAGTCAAAAAAACTAGGTCAGGCCCCTTCTCTGGGTGAGTTCATCTCTGTTGCAGGGCTCAGCTGCCCATCTGTGAAATGCAGGTACAGCGTCCACACTCAGGTCTCAAAACAGTGACGCTGGAGGGAGCAAAGGACACGACATAAAGTTTCTCCAGAGCCTCCTGGTCCCAGGGGATCATAAGCGTTTGTGCATCTTGTAGTGGCTCCTTCATTAACTAGGAGAAGCCACAGGTGTGTCCCTGGGGATGGAGGCCACACCTACAGATCGTCCCTGCAGGATCCAGCCGCTTTTGTTCCGATGCATTTCACAAAAAGCTCAGTAATGCACAGAAGGAGAATTGATTGGAGGGAGAGAAAAAGTCAGGCTCACTAAGCCATGATGAATGCCAAGATGAAATGACAGTTCTTCAAGGTGTTAAAACCCAACTGCGCCCCACACCCCACAATTTTCCCTTGATCCAAATGGCAGCAAAACCTCCTCTCTGAATGCCCTGTCCTTGCATCATGTCAACAGGGCAGAGAAGAGCGAGTTGACCTTTCCTCCCCACCCCACTTCTCTCTGACTTTCAATAACAGCAAATGCTTCAATACTCTACATATGTATTATTATTTAATTCTCATAACCGCTCTGTCAAGCGGATACTATTATTATCATCCCCATTTTACAGGGGAGGCAACTGAGGCTCAGAGAGGTTGGGTCACTTGCCCA